CTCATATTGGGTGTGATTCCTAACTGTTTTTAGACGGCCTTTCTGACCTTGGTTTCCGAATTGAGGACATTATTAACCAAGAACATGATGCTGCACTTGGTAATGGTGGTCTTGGTCGATTGGCAGCTTGTTTCCTAGACTCGCTTGCATCCTTGAACTTTCCAGCATGGGGTTATGGTTTGAGATATAGATATGGTATCTTCAAACAAGAGATTGTAGATGGATATCAAGTCGAAGTTCCAGATTACTGGCTCGACTTTAATCCTTGGGAGTTCCCAAGACATGATATTGTTGTTGATGTAGGTTACCATCGACGCAGTGATTACTTCATAAGCTAATATTGATCAGATCCAATTTTACGGTCACGTTAGAAAATATCAGGATGAGCAGGGGAAATCCAACACCGTCTGGGAAGGTGGAGAAATCGTCAAGGCCGTAGCTTTTGATGTTCCAATCCCTGGTTATGCTACTCCAGCCACCAACAACTTACGTCTTTGGTCTAGCAAGGCTGCTAGCGGTGAATTCGACTTCCAAAAGTTTAACAGTGGTGACTATGAGAGTTCGGTAGCCGATCAACAACGTGCCGAGACTATCAGTGCTGTTTTATACCCCAACGATAACCTCGAACGTGGAAAGGAGCTTCGTCTAAAGCAACAGTATTTCTGGGTAGCCGCCTCTTTATACGATATCGTTCGCAGATTTAAGAAATCCAAGCGTGCCTGGAAGGAATTCCCGGATCAAGTTGCCATTCAATTGAACGATACTCATCCAACTCTTGCAGTTGTGGAACTTCAACGTATCCTTATTGATCTTGAAGGTCTTGAATGGGATGAGGCATGGGGAATCGTTACCAAGACTTTTGGTTACACGAATCACACTGTTCTTCCTGAAGCTCTGGAAAAATGGTCTGTTCCTCTCTTCCAGAACTTACTCCCCAGACATCTTCAAATTATTTATGAAATCAACTTGTTCTTCCTACAAAGTGTGGAACGTAAGTTTCCCGGAGAGAGAGATTTACTTGGCCGAGTCTCCATCATCGAAGAATCTCAACCAAAGATGGTTCGCATGGCTTTCTTGGCTATTGTTGGTTCTCACAAGGTTAATGGTGTCGCTGAACTTCACTCTGATTTGATCAAGACTACTATTTTCAAGGATTTTGTGAAGATCTTTGGCCCTGACAAGTTCACTAATGTCACCAATGGTATCACACCTAGAAGATGGCTTCACCAAGCCAATCCTAGATTATCTGAGTTGATTGCCAGTAAGCTTGGTGGTTACGAATTCCTCAAAGATCTTACTCTTCTGAACAAGATCGAAGCATTCGCTGATGATAAAGCGTTTAAGAAAGAGTGGCAGGAGATTAAGTACGCCAACAAAGTTCGATTGGCTCAACACATCAAGACAACTACTGGTGTCACCGTTAACCCAGCTGCGTTGTTTGATATTCAAGTCAAGCGTATACACGAGTATAAGCGTCAACAAATGAACATTTTTGGTGTCATTCATAGATACTTGACTATCAAAGCCATGAGTCCACAAGAGCGTAAGAAGTTGGCACCACGTGTTTCAATCTTCGGTGGAAAAGCAGCTCCAGGTTACTGGATGGCGAAGACGATCATTCATCTTATCAACAAAGTGGGCTCTGTTGTTAACAACGACAAGGATGTTGGAGATCTCCTAAAGGTCATTTTCTTGGAAGACTACAATGTATCCAAGGCTGAGATGATCTGCCCGGCAAGTGATATTAGTGAGCATATCTCGACAGCAGGCACAGAAGCTAGTGGAACCTCGAACATGAAGTTTGTGTTGAACGGTGGTTTGATTATTGGTACTTGCGATGGTGCTAATGTAAGTTTGTTCCTTGTTGTTTTTGTCACACAATACTAATAATATCTAGATCGAGATTACTCGTGAGATTGGAGAGAACAATATCTTCCTCTTCGGTAACTTAGCCGAGGATGTTGATGATCTTCGCCATGCACATACTTATGGTTCTACCCAACTTGACCCTGATCTTCAGAAAGTCTTCGAGGCCATCCAAAGTGATACCTTTGGTGATGCTGGTGCATTTGGTGCTCTGATTGCTGCTATTAAAGATCATGGTGATTATTACCTCGTATCCGATGACTTTAATAGTTACAACCAAACTCAAGCATTGGTGGATGAAGCTTATAAAAATCAAGATGAGTGGACAACAAAGACCATTACTAGTGTGGCTAGAATGGGTTTCTTTAGCAGTGACAGATGTATAAATGAGTATGCGGAATCGATTTGGAATATTGAGCCATTGAATGCGGAGATGGAGGGAACTGCTGGCTCGAAGAATTAGGAGATGTGAAGGAGGTAATGGGAAGATTTGAGTATGGTGGAATTGATTTGCCAGGATGGAAGATCATTATGATGATAATGATAATGATGACGAGGGTAAGGATGAGAAAAATGGGCATGGTATTGCGATACGGTACGATACGATACATCAGACCACGATTGGTTTAGATTGATGAATGCACTTTTTACCTATCCGTGGACCTTAAATCCGCTCCTTATCCTTAGAGTGATTGAATGATAGAAAGTTGTTAGCTTGGAAGAAAGGACTTGTATTTTAACCCCTCTCTCTCCGACAGAAGGGTAATGCGAGGTCATTCAACAAACTTGTCTTAAATCTAATCAACCCAACTCACCCACTCATTGATTCATTATCCAAGCCAAGCCAAGCCAAACCAAGTCATCATTCACAAGATCCTCATATAAAACCAACGTCAATATCTTATTAGAACTTGCATACATACATCCATCTATATATTCATATATTCATATAGTTATACAATCATACAACCATGACACTCCATTAACTTTCTATTCCCTTAACCCTATCTAGGTATCTACCTACCCGTCTACCTACCTATCATAAATATCCTGTTAAGCAGAGCACCAACTAACAAAATAAAGAAATTCAATTTTACGGATCGGATCGAATCCAATTTAACACCCTGCACCAAAGCAAAACAAACCAAACCAAACCCCAATCCCGCACAACATCTCGTTTCCATCCCGACGTTTCAGTCCCATCAATCATGATCATGATAGTCTAGATAGATCTAGAATACCACTCAACTCATATCTCCTCTTCCTTTTGATGTATTTGCTGTATCTGCTGTATCGTTGAGCAGCCCAGCCCAGCCCAGCACACATCAATACAACATCAATAATACCACAACAACAACCACAACCACGAAATAAAATAAAATAAAATCCCCCGAGTACGAAACCCATCAACCAACCGCACTTCAACCAACCAACCACCAGGGCGTATATCGAAAAAACACATTCTTGACATCAACCTCCCCTTTCCCCTCACCTTTCCCGTCCCTCCGCATTCTCTTATTTTTTTATTCTTTTTCTTTTTCTGTTCCTGGTTTCTTGTTTTATATTTTTATTTTTCGTAACCTGACTTGATCATTATGAATCCATCCATTCCCATATGCGCAGACGCCCAAACTCAAACCCCAACTCCAACTCCAACCACAATCCCACATTCCATAGATTTTTCCTGCCGTGTCGCCGGGTTGCCCGAATCCTGTATTCTTTTTATTGCATAAAACATCGAAACATTGAGAGTGGAAACATGATTGTATAAAAGAGAAAGAAAAAGAAAAAGAAAAAAGAAAAAAGTACAATAGCACTGGAAAAATCCCGGGCTCCCGCGCCTATTTAACCAGCCTACAAAGGCGTGCCGTGGAGTGCCATAAAATGAAGTCAAGTGAAAACCGCATTTTCCTGCTTGGTTTATTTTCAATACTGAAAATCTGAATGTCTGCTACCATCCACCGTACGTTCGTATATGGAAGAACTACAAACAAAAGACGTTCGGGTACCCTCATAAAAAGATCATTCAAACCCAACCCAACAGAAAACAGACCACAAATCACCAGAAGATATCACGAAGGAATAAAAGAACTCAACACAACACCCTGCACAACAATCCTCGGAATATCAAATCGATCATTCGATGAAACAGGTGATCCCATCCGACTCTTACCACCCATAATCCCTAACGCCTCATTTATCGACTGAAGCCCCACATCAGCCTTCCCATTCCCCCTAAACAACCTCTCAGAAAACATCTGCTCAGGCAAAAGCAAAGTCCGCGAAGCCGACGCCGGAATCCCCATACTAATCATTCGTGTACCCTCCGTAAGGGGGTACGTACCATTTCTCAAAATCCTCGGGCCATAATGCATCGGAATACCATTCGTACGCCACATAGCCAACACGAGCTCTTTATCTCTCCTTCCACCCTCCTTAACCATCTTCGCAATCCAATTTTCGATATTCTGTTTACTGTGTAAGGCGCTCGGTTTGAGTTTCTGAACTTGCACTTCATGGTCCCTATAGATAGCATCTTTAGATGTGCACGCCCGACACGATCTCTCCGCATACGTAGCACGGAGTCCATTTCTACATCTCCACCAGCCTCCGTGTCCCTTGGTTCGTCCTACCTGTTTCCATTTGTCGTCATTTTCGTGAAACTCTAGATTCCAGAGGTGACGATCCGGATTCTCTTTGTGGTTATATCCTTGGTCGATCTCAGTGAGACGGACCCAGTGATTGATCATTTCGGTGAAGCTTGTCCATGGTTTATGGATTCCCTTGGTTGGAAACCATTCGGGTAGGTATGCTCCACAGGTGTCTCGCTCTGCTAGTGTGAGGGTAGAGCCGGGCGGGATGTGGCGCTCTTTGCACTTTTTGCAGTATTCGATTTGGGCTCCTTCGTCCAAATTTCTGATGAAGTCGGCTTTTTGTTCGTCTCTGTGAGAATCATTATATTAGTATATGTTTAATAGTAAGGCCTCGAGCAGGAATATATAGTATGAATTATAGCTGATGGGTCTCTCAAATAAACTAAAATCAGTCTTACTCGCTGTAGATCTCACCAATAACTGAAGGGTCAAATTCTACCCATGCCTTTTGTGTAAAATCCATTCTCGTGGCTACAATACCACCAACCGACAGTCTTCGCCTAGTATGCCTAGTAGCTCCAGCAAGCGCAGACTTTTGAGGAGAAGGTGTATTCTTGATAGCTAGTTCAGCTCCATCAAGAGCAGCATCAAAAGCATCATATTGTTGAGGATCGTAGTCCTCCTCGACTTTTTCCATTCCCATGTAGGCAGCATTTGACGGTGGAGGGAAAATCTTCCACAGTTCTACTGGTTCCTTTGGCTTTGAAGCAGGAAGTTCAATTTGCTCAGGTGCTCGTTGACAGCTGAAGCCCTTGATGGGTGTTGTATTCGACTTGTACTCGATATAGGTATAGTTTGTAACTTGTCCAGTGTAAGGATTCTTGCTACTGCCGTTCACAATCCTTTGTGTGATGGGTACAGTCTTCTCTGGATCCGGGCGGAAGCTGCTGTGCAAGGCACTCGAGTTCGAATCTTGTTTCGAATCAGACCGAGGTCGGAGGCCTAGATATCTGTAATCATCTGAGTGTCTACTTTCCGAAGCCACAGCTTGAGAACCTGGAGACGTGTCTTTAGTTGAATCTTCACTATTCTTAGGAAATAGAGTTGGACTGATTTTGTCGGAGCCGATTGAACCAGAGGGGGACAACATTCTAGATTCATCCATGGTGAAAGAGTCGGCAGGAGATCAACTGAAATGATATGAATGGAGACAAAAAAACAAACGAATTTGTCTCTTTATATTGTTTAGTGTCGAAGGAGATTATCTCAGAAATAATTAATACTACGAAAGGTATCTGGAATAAGATAAAAGTTAATTTTATTTCTATGTTTTAGTACGTCATGCCTAGGTAAATCTAGGCAAGCTTGACAATATCTTAATTCAATTTCTAAGTACCAGTGGGGAACTTGTCAAAATTACTTTGAGATGAATGAGAATCTTCAATAAGCCACCGACTCAAAAGGGTATGATTGGTGGATTGCTAGTATGTTGCCTGTTAAGGTTAATGTAAAAGGAGTCGTCTGAATTGTACTGTGAGAGAATTGGGTTGATGCTTCCTCACAGAACTTGTCGGTGTTGATGAAAAAGAATGTTGGAAGGTAGAATTAGGAGATTATGACCAATGAAATTCTTAATATATAAATACAAATGGAAATACGGATTGCCTAGGTAAGTACTGCACAGTAAATTGTAGATGCAGACTGAATCCCAGCCGCCGAGACATTGTGAGAGGTACAGTTACAACATGGTTGGCATTGGCGGGACTATAAACAATCTACCAAGTGAATTGTAGAGATGAGAGAATGAATAAGCAGAAGTGAATAGATAGTTTATTCCGCAAAAGAAAAAAGCTCTCTTGACATTGATGAATGAGGACAAGAATAAATCAAAGCATCGTGATACAGTACTTTAGTCTCCACATATTGTTGAAAGAAATATGAAGGTTCAATGTTTAAAATAATGGCAAGAGCTTTACATGAGCAAGAACAGAAAGTGCGATGAAAGACCAAATATTAAATTCACGCAATCATGACTAAGTAGAAAAAACAACAATATAATGATATTGCTACATAATTTACACAGTAACAGAGATATCATGCAAACCATTGGTTGTTAGCTCCTCAGCTCATTAGTGGCCCAACACTGACCTTTTGTCTCTCTGCTAAAATAGCGTCCTGCTTTAGCTTCGACTGCGATTTATCGGCTCGTCTCCTCTCTGCCTCCAAACTCGAGAATCTTCCCTTGGCGCCGTGCTTGAGTTTTGTGATCATGTCCCCTGCCTTGCCTTTCGTAAGGTCTGCAGGGGTTAGTTGATCATCCTGTGGGCGGATCTTATTAAGAAACATCAACTGCCCTTCTGTAGCAGGTCCATTTCTCCAGGGAGCCCTTCGATTGATAAATTGGAGAGGAAATCTTTTGTTCGCATAAGTATCAGCCGCATGAACAGCATCTAACATGTTTTCTGTAATGACAAGTTCGCGCGGTTTTGCGAATGGTGATTTAGACTTGGAAGCCCTTAGACTTGCCAAGGCGAGGGTCTCGGTAAGGACGAACTTCTGTTTCTGCCCTTGAAGCACTTTCTCAATCTTTATGTGAGTACCATTTGCACTACACAAAACATATTTGTCCGGACCAACACATACCCATGCAAAGGGGGAGATTGTTCTGATATGTCGTTCCTCAGAGGTATCCTCGATGAGGTCATAGACAGAATCATAATCGGTGAAGCTCACAGTTCTGATGTTAAAGCTTGCGGATGTCGGCGAATCTTTGGCTACTGCTTCTTCGGCCTTTCTTTTTCTCTCCTCTTCCTCTTCCTTTCGTTCTTTGAGAGACTTCATGTCTTCCGGTTTCACTTCGTCAACGACTTCGGAAGGATCAAGGCCAAAGAGGGTTGGCGTCGTTACGATACCAGTCGAGAGAGTGGCAACCATATCAATGATGTGGCAATTCTCCTTCCCAGGGTGTAATCTCATACCTCGGCCGATCATTTGAACGAGCAAATTGCGCGATTTAGTAGGTCTTGCCAATAACACACAGTCGATATTCGGAATATCAGTCCCCTCAGTAAAGACTCCGCAATTAACCAACACTGGGAACTCACCGTTCCTGAAAGCATCGAGCCTTGTACTCCGCTCAATCTTTGGAGTATCGCCTGTCACAAATTGTGCATCAATTCCATGTTCACGGAACTTATTGGTTAAGCCTCCCACGTGAGCAAGATCGACACAGAAGACTATTGTCGATTTCCTTCCCTTGGCCTTTGCAAACCAACTTCGCACGGTGAGTTCGTTGATTTCATCGGTGTTAACAACCTGCGATAATTCTCCAGCCTGAAAATCTCCATTTGGACCCTTCCTCACGGAAGAAACATCAGCTTTCGATTGTACGGTAGTGAAGATGACCCCAGATAACCAATTATCTTCAATCATGTCAATATAATCCTTGTGATACACAATCTGATCAAGAGCAGCGCCCAACTTTAATCCATCAGTACGAGACAAAGTAGCCGACACGCCTACGAGAGTAGGGGAGCTCTCCCGCTTTTCGGAGAGACCAAAATGAGCCAAGGTCTTCAAGTACTGTGGTGCAACGATATGATGTGCTTCGTCAACAAGTATCAGCTTGAAACGGGTAGGGTCGAACTTTTCGATCCGGTCACCAGATCCAATACTTTGAATACTTGCCACAGTGATGTCTGCATATCCACTAGCATGCATTTTCCCCATCTCTATCTCGATTCGTTTATCTGGGTAAGCATTTTCACAGTGACGAGCTGCTTGCTCAACCAGTTCTTGTCGGTGGGCTAATATTAGTGTTTGGGTTGCAATCTTAGCATGCGGTTGAACTCGATCAATCAATTGGGTAAAGATCACCTGCAAATCTGATTAGTAAAGGTAGATAGTGATAATCACCATGAATGTACTTGCAGTCTTCCCACTTCCGGTAGCTAGAGACACACCCATACGTTTGTGACCTTGGTCTATGTGAGAAAGCACTGCTTGAATACATTCTTCCTGGTATTCCCTCAAAACAATGGGCTGAGGAGCTCTCGCCACAGCCGCTGTTTGCACCTTAGGAATGGCTGCAGCTCGTGCATAATTTCTCACGGGGTTTGGTAGCCTTATTGGTCGCCATGGCCTTGAAAACAGGCCTAATATTCCTCTTGAAGTAGGAGGCATGTTGTTCTGCGACTGCGATAATAAATTGATGTCACTTCTGATGAGTTTTAGGCGCGATAGACGCCTGTGGCTGTAATCCAGGTTCTCCAATGGTGTATGTGGCTAGTGACTTGGTACAGCGCCACATTACGGTCAGTGCCAATTTCCATCATATTACATTCTGATTTTTTGCTTTTCCTAAAAGAAAAAACAAATAGAATTTACCGAAGCGCAATTATTCATGTTCGAAACCCTTACCTTTCGAGCTATGTGGACGAGAGGAGAACTACACCTTTATCGATTAATGCGCTTTAAAGATCCATAGCCCATATGGATTCTAATGATTCTGATCCTTTTGAAGGCCCATTTAATATTCCTGAACCAGACTCAGGATCAGCCTATGAGAATTTTGACAGCGATTATGAGCAAATATCACATGACAAAGGAGCGCAAGAGGGCGTTTCTCGAATTGAGGGAAGGAAGGATGGGGGCAGTGTACATTCGGAAGGAGAAAGTGATTCTTACTCGATCTCTCTAGCAAATCCAAATCCAGATAACAAATATACGGATGAATGGATAAGCGCAGATGCCCTCAAATGGGCAGCTACGTTTGAACCTCCTGAAGTGGAAGATATTCCCATCCCGTCGAGAGGAATCTATCGTCCTAGATCCAAAAAGCGAAAGCTGGAGCGAAGGAACGGAAATTTGGCGAGGGCAAAACGTGTCAAAGGATTTTACAGCAAGGATTATCGCAGCCTTCTGAACAATGAAATTTATGATGCAGGAGCGAGGTCAATTCTCGAGGACAATATTCCATTGGAAAGCAGCCAAATTGGTTGTTCCTTTTGGTCTACGGAGGAGAAAGACTTGTTCTTTACTGGGTTGTCAAGGCTGGGTAGAGATAATGTAAGAGCTATTGCGGCACGCATCGGGAGCAAGTCGGAAGTTGAGGTGCAAGAATATATGCAACTACTACACCAAGGGTTAAAGGAAAAGAAAATGTATGATGCACGACTTTTGGATGTTACAGAGTATTCAATTGCGGCTGAACTTACCTCAGAATGTTGTGATATCATGGAACGAGCTGCGGACGGTCTTGCCCTACGGCAAGAGCTATATGAAGAAGATGTCGAGGAGGCTAAATGGGGCAAATACTGGCTTTTGACCGAAGAAGTGAGCAAATCACTGGAAAAAAAGCGCAGTGTGAGCACGACCAAGGACGACGAGGATATACAGGATTTGCTACCAGCAGTTCGCCTTCTGCACCTCAAAAATTGGCTTACACTATCTGAGAGAGTGTTCATGAATTCTTCCGAGCCTCGGGAGGATAATTGGAGGCAGGTGGGAGAACTTGGAGAAACCCCGGCTATCCGCGCGACTGCTTTCGACGATTTTCATTCTTTAACAGTCAGTGTTACAAGACGTCTCGTTTCAACCGTCATTTTCTGTACAATTTCGAGAATGAGAGCCATGGACTCGAATAAGACCAAAGCAGCACATATCAACATCAAAGACGTGGAAGCTGCGACCAAGATTTTGAAAATGGACGCCAATAGCAATGAATTTTGGGTAAAATGCCCTAGAAGGAATTATCTCTCTGTTTCTCGTGACGAAGATCTGAGCGACTCAATAATGTCATATTCAGACGTAGAAACCGAACTACGTAAAGAATACAATGAAAGGAGGAGCAGATCTCGTTCTCGCAGTCATCCACACGTAGATCTTCCTGAGGATATATCGGAAGTATATACATCCGCATCTGATTCTCTACTCTACACCGATATTGAATCCTCCGATTCCGAAATCTCCGATCATCTCGACGACAATCCTTTTACACAGCGGTCTCCATCCCCCTCTCAGTCACAATCACAATCCCAACCACGCTCCCAACGCAAACCGCACCTCTCACCAGAAGCTTACGAGCACGCACTTGAAACTCACATTTCCGCCTTGGATGCACGAGCTAGTAGATCCGAGGAACAGCGCATCTGGAATTTATTGGGCCAAGATCCACCTCTTGATATCAAAGCCGTGGAAGACGAAGAACTGCCAGAGAGACCTAGTAAGAAAATGGACATAGAGGGAGAAAATAATGGAGAAGATTGGAGAGAAAAGGGATTCTGGAGTGAATGGGAGGTTATGGGTATGGTTGGCGAGGAGGAGTTTGTGAGAAATAGGGAAAGAGTCGGCAGGAAAGAACGAAGGGAAAGGTTGAGAAAGAGTCGTGAAGAGAATGAAATGGCAATGAGGACGAGGACAGGCGTGGGGAATGAAGGAAATATTAGTGAGAGCGGCAGTGAATGGGGCGAAACAGACGAGGCGATCTTGAAGGGTCGGAAAAAGGGAAATGTTGGAGGTTTGAGCGACCACGACGAAAGTGTGGAGCCAGAAGACGTTGCTAAGCACAGATCTTACGCGGTTTACAATAGCGACGATTAGCGCAACGGTAATATTACAACAATTGAGAAATATAATCATAATATAAGTGTCACTTCATTATCTTAAGAACACACCTGAGCACGCGATATGAGATGTGAAAAGTATACGCGTAAGACCCCTCTTGTATAAAGGCACCTCCCCGATCTCAAAGTACAAACACTTAGATGTGCGTAGTTTTATTACGCAATGACCAGTAATTATTCCATATTCAACCCCAATTGCGCCTTGTAATACCTACAGCCAATTCATTCCTTGCCGCCTGCTCGCACCATTCCTAAATATCATAACTCTTGATCTGACCTTCCGCACTCAAAGGTTGTACGCTTCCAGGAGCAGCCGCAACACCATTGAAAGACATTTTCTCCCCTCCTTGCATGACGTCTTGAGCCATTTTAATTCCTTGTTCTCCGCCCGTTGCCGCGGCTGTTTTTAGACCTTCCTGTACATCTCTAACACGCTTTTTGAAGGACAGGCGATCTAAAAAGAGTTGCTGACGGCCTCTTTCTAACTCCCTTCGCTCCGCTTGTAGAATATCCTCCATTTCGTTAAATTGCTTCAATTTCAAATCGAGCTTCGTTAATGTGAGATTGACAGCGGCTGATACTAAGCGAGTCATTTCGCGTTCTTCATGGGATGCCAAGGCACCAGCACGACCAGCGACGGCAACCAAAGGATAGCCAGCAATCTCATTTAACGATTGTTTATTTGACTCAGTAGTGTCAATCTCCATCGAGTCCGAAACTGCCTCCTTGTCGTTCCCCTTCTCGGATCCTTTCGGGTTCTCAATCTTTTCTCGTAGGCTTTTCTTCATCGCGTCTACTGTTTTACCAGCTGAAGCTGCCGTAACCTTAGGGTCCGTGAGACTCGCCAGGAACCCAATCACAGACATAAGCGGATTATCCGCTTGACTGAAGGGAAGCATGCCGTTCTCGGGGCCTAACATACCGACGCCGATAGATTTATCCGTATTGCTTGGCTCCACATCGATATATTTATCCTCAATTTCAAACTGCAGGAATTTGACCACACATTCTTCTTTAGTTCTGGTACCAACATACTCCGCAACTGCCGTCCAGTCATCATCGTTGCTCTCTAAAGCCTCCAAGAGTCGCAGGACCTCGGTATCACTCCAATCACGAGCAAGTTCAGGAGCGGCGCTGTATGTTGGATTCTCCATCTTTTGGTATTGTAATCGGGCATGGTTGTGAGGGTATCGACCTTCCATGAAACAGTTTGAACAGATATCTGATTTACCCTTAGTGGTTCCAGAAGCTGACGGGTCGGCTGGAGACATATGATGATAATAGACACGAGTGCAATCAACACCGCAAACAAAACAGAGGATCTTCGTTGCCGGGGGCTTCGCAATATCCTCGATGGATTTTTGAACAATGTCCGAAGTGCCATTAGTGCTCGCAGCCTCACCATTCGTTTGTTTTTTAGAGTCAGCACTCAGTCTATTTTCCTTGGCAGTAGCGTCGTATATATTGCGTCCTATCTGCAGATTCAAGTCGGACTTGGAAGCTGGCTCTGCAGCTGCCTTGGCTTCCGTGTCTTCATGTTTCTTGCCCTTGAGAACGATCGGATCGGCGGAAGGCTGCCACGGCTGCAGGCCACGCGGGGTATCGCATATTACCTTGAAATGCCCGGTGAACGGAGGACCAACTTGGGAAGGTCTTTGTTGCGCGTCAACCTACACTCGTTAGTAAAGATTGTATCCGTTTGAATAGCGAGAATAACATACTTGATAATTGATCAAGCCCCATTGCTCGAGAAAGGCATGAACACGCATAATAGCGCAAACATCTCCCGCCAAATTCCTCCTGCATGCTGTCACAGTCAAATACTCTATTGGATTCAATCGGTAGGTATTGACCATGAAGTCTCGATAATCTTTGTAGACAGCTGGGGTCTTGCTGCGATTGCGGTTGTTGAAGAACTCCGGCAAGGACTTCTTCTCGACAGGTGCAATGACACGCATGTCGAACCAATTACTATAACTCGGTATTAGGGTTAAATGTGTTTGCGATATGAGATGTTCCCTTGCTGATGCTTCAATCGAAGCTTTTGTTTTCTCGACCTGTCCGTCTGCAGTTCCATTTTCTCCATCGCCTTCTTTGCTTTCTTTCACTTCGTCTTGTGCTTGAGAATTACCCATCTCCTCATCCTTGGGTTCATCTGCTTCTGGACGAGGTGCGGCAGGCGCATCGAGCGGATTGTCCGAGGCAGGCGCAGTTGAGCTTTTCTTAATGTCTGGATCAACAGAACTAGCTTCACCCATTGGAATATCTGTAGATGGTTAGCTGCTAAAAATCGCGCATAGTGTGAATAGGTGATGATTTATACCTTCCGCTGCTTGGGTTTGCCCAGTGGTCCCTTGACTTGGTGATGAGGTAGACTCTGCGGGAAGTGGTGGCTGCTCGAGTATGGCATTACTGCCTGGAGCTGAATCGAAGTTCAATGAATTATCCTCCATATTTGATTATATTTTGAAATAGTAAATCTGTCGCAATGGTTTACTCGTAGACACTTTCTGAATTTGGCGCAAGTGGAGTCGCCCTAGATCTCCAAATGGATGTTCGAATTCTCATGCGCGTCGAACCGATCAAAATCTAAATGCACGACTTGGTGCAAAAGGAATTTATGTGGTATTAAACGATTGAGAGTTTGAGGCGCAAACACTATTGCTGTGAGTCGCGTTGATGATTTTCTGGAGGGACGTCGCGTTTCGCTTGCTATATTAATAAAGCTCAAGATGAGCCAAATTCAAACAGCCAAAACTGTGAGGATTCACGTGACTTGGAATCATGACTAATATTTACACCCCAAGGGTTAGGCCATCATGCACAGGCACAAAATTAGGCCTCCCTCGGCTTGAAGCGGCGCACCGATGGTCAGGATTGAAAACATGGGGTAAAGTCACTTAGTGGATTTATTGACAATGTTCAACAATTTAATCTTTCAAAATTTCCTTCCTTCAATTCCATAACAATGCTTTCAAGAGCCGGTCAATCTATCTTACGCCAGGCGCGTACCCAATTACGACCACAAGCTGGTCCTACGCCTGTTGCTTCACTATCCGCACTCGCAAGATTATTATCCTCGCTGGCCGTCCTGGAACAAAGGGAAGGCAAACTTAACCATGGTTCACTTGGCGCAGTCACCGCAGCCCAGAAGTTAGGAGGGTCGATAACTGCATTTATCGCGGGAAGCAATATCAAATCCGTCGCTGAGGAAGCAGCTAAAGTTGCAGGAATCGAAAAAATTATCGCGATAGACAATGCTGCATATGACAAGGTGAGGAGATCTACTTCTTTAATAACCCAGTTATGCTAAATTAGCAATTTCTGATTCTTTCATTTTAGGGTTTGCCAGAAAATTATGCTCCTTTATTAGTAGAAAATATCAAGAAGGGTGGCTTTACACACATTATTGCCGGACACACAGCTTTTGGAAAGAATCTAATGCCCCGCGTTGCCGCATTGCTTGATGTTCAACAAGTATCGGATATTACAGGAATCGAAAATGAGAAGACCTTCGTTAGACTAATCTATGCTGGTAACGCAATTGCCACTGTCGAATCCTCAGATGAAATCAAAATTATCACTATTAGAGGAACAGCCTTTGCCGCTGCTGCGGCTGAGGGAGGCTCGGCATCGATCGAAGATGGTGTAGATCCTAAGGTCGAGTCACAAACGGAATGGGTTTCGGAAGATCTCGCTAAATCAGATAGACCAGATCTCGCCACTGCGGGTAAAGTAGTATCTGGAGGTCGAGGATTGAAATCGAAGGAAGAGTTTGATAGAATAATGTTGCCTTTGGCGGATGCACTAGGAGCGGCTGTTGGAGCGTCACGGGCGGCTGTGGACAGTGGCTACGCCGACAACAGTTTACAGGTCGGCCAAACCGGAAAGGTTGTAGCACCACAATTGTACTTATGTGCAGGCATCTCCGGTGCTATTCAACATTTGGCAGGTATGAAGGACAGTAAGGTCATCGCAGCGATCAACAAAGATGCGGATGCACCAATTTTCCAAGTCGCCGACGTTGGGCTGGTAGGAGATTTGTTTGATAAGGTCCCAGAGCTGACAGAGAAGTTAAAGTAATGTACAATATTGTTAGTTTAGAATTTCCTGGTTTAATCTAGAACCTTGAGCATGTCTTCCACATTTGTAAATTTTTCTCGTTCTTTTCCGTTACTGTTACCCTTCCTACGCTCGGCAGCGTCGATCTTCTGCCAGTCTTCCCAACTGACTCTTCGGCACGCTTTTCTATCAGCCTCAGCTTTTACTCCATCCCATCCAAGGCCAGAACCTCCAGCATTACCGTTTAGAAATGCTGCATGCTTATACCAGTCTTCCGCAATCGTATCTGCAGTTGAGAAGGCATCCAGCATAGTACTAGCAATTACACCTGTCGGTCCTCGTTTTACCCATCCAGCACAATACATTCCTGGAATATGCTTGGACGAATCCGAACTCGACCACCCTTCGTTGTCATTGACTACACGGCCCAGTCGATCGTTTGGTATGATGCCCAGGCGATCATCAAATGGTATATTCAGGTCCGTGAATCCTGGCAAAGCTTCTGACTTGTATCCAATGGATCGAAAAGCTAGAGAGGCTGGAAGGTCTACAATTTCCCCGGTGCCATTTGCCTTGGCCGCAGGATCGAAGGGATTTGGGTTCAACAGGGTTTTCTCAAATGACATACTACCCAGATGAGAGGGAGAGTGATGACTTTGATTGAATGATTTTGGTGAGAGACAGAAATCAAATGACCATGACTTAGCTGCCGACTCTAAGGAAGCACTTGACCCCTTTTTGATAATTTCCATGATTCGCTTCGAGGCTCGAGGCAATTTCGAAATATCCTCCGGGATTAGTGATCTATCAACAGGATGAAAAGCTACCGAATCTAACTTCACCAACTCACGAACCTCTTTGATCGTGAAGGCCGCCTGAAATCATTAGCATAAATAGGCTCCACTTAGGCCCATAAAACGAACCTGCAAAGGACCTCTCCTCCCCACTACCCTCACTCTTCTGACCCGACTTTTTTGCAAAGTGTCAATGGCTCTCTCTGTGATATCGGTTGTCCGCAGTACATCGGGGTCCTGCAATAAGATTCTTGCAACATCCAAAGCTACATTTCCTTGCCCAATAATTATAGCCTCATCTCCTTGCGTGAGATCTGGTTCGAGATCTGCATATTCCGGTAATCCATTATACCATCCCACAAACGCCCGCGCCGAATATATACCCTTCAAATTATCCTCCCCTGGTATATTTAATGTACGGTCTCGAGATGCGCCATAGGCAAATAATATAGCATCGTAATGTGGCAATAGCGATGCAAGAGGTAAAGCTCCAGCATGATCCCCTATAGATATATTCCCAATGAAATTAAAGTCTGGTGATTCGGCTACCTCGTTGAACTTATCTTGACAATTCTATTTCGCATCAGCACGAAGCTTTCTCATTTGATCTAGAGTTGCCAGATGGGACTTTACCTTTACTTCAGGATGGTCGGGAGCGACGCCGAATCGTACCAAACCAAAAGGCACTGGTAGATGCTCATACACATCCACAGTTGAATTCTCAATCCTAGACATCACCTTATAAGATGTATAAAATCCCGCAGGTCCCGACCCAATAACAGCCATTCTAAATGGTCTACCATCATGAGCTCTGGGTTTCTCAGTATATTTTCTGGCGGTACTGCTGATCGTCCTTGATCGAGTGATCGAATGTATGCGTTTCTGTAAAGAGTTCGCACATCTTGTGCAAAGCCAAGGTCTCGCGATCCTGTTCATTTTCTCTCGCTCTCAAAACGTCATATGGGAAGCCTTCGGAAATCTTTATCGCATTGACCGATAACACTATGCGTAACATTGTCGTGTGTTGCTCTGTCAACAAAGCTTGGATCCAAAGTTTGGTGATCCAAGCTCTAGAATGATTAACATCGCATATTTGTGGTTCATTCTTTTGCAAGATCCACGTTCCTGGCTTCATTCCTGGAACATTTCACTCTCTCTTTCGTCATTCATTATTGTCGCGTACAATGGGCATTGAACCACCCTTTATTTATGAACCGGTCAAAACAGATTGGTTTTTTGATCCAAAAGCCGTCTCCAGAGCCAGCTTATCTCCGCCAGCTCCACGGCCAAAGCGACCAGATGGGCCGTTGGTCAATTTCAATGCACACCCTGAGTACGTTTGAGTATGCGCTTACAGTTCACCGAAATCTATGCTGATCTCCTCTCATCAGTTCTTATCTAATTGTTCCTTCTGGAAATGTGGACGTCAAATCAATGCACCCTTCTGTCAAGAAGAGAATCAAATGGACCAGAAAAGTCACACTGGCATTGCGATGCTTTCAAGCTGTAGCAGCAGTCGGACTCCTTATCATGTCAATCTTGATTACCGGCTTGGATATTATATCAGGATGGATTATGAAACTTGCGGTATGTTATTCCGAGAATGCTTTAATGTTCCATGACCGACTGACATGTTTCAGCCTGTTATAGCGATTTTTCATACCATTTATGGAGCTTATCACCTAGCACGGAAACCTGACGGTAGAGCACCTGGATCCACAGCATCGTACATGCTATTCGCATCTTTGATTGATATAACTATTGTGCCATTTTATGCCTATATTTCTTTGGCGGCTAAAACGAAGCAAACGACCTGGACCACGTCTCTTTCTGACCAGAGTCTTCTAACAATCTTCACCGACGTTCTGTTCTACGCAGCTACGGTTGGGGGTGGACTTCATTTAATATCTTTATCTCTTTCTCTCTATCTCGCTTTCACATTCCGCAAGATCAATCAACTCCCTCCGGATATGAACCCACTAGAAGATAATCTCACGTCTCGTCACAAACGCAACAAATCCTCCATCTCAACTTTCACTACCATCACGTCCCCATCCGAGAAAAGACTATCAAGGGGATCTAATCTTGAGGATAAACGACGTTCTGGGGCGCCTTATGAGGATCTTGATAGACCCCCAACAATTCCCTTCCTTCATACTCGCACCAACTCCAATGAATCATTCCAGACTAATCAATCATCACCTCGTACATCACGTACGGGTTCTCCTGCTCGCTATAATGCATATAAGCCCAATCAGTCGCCTCGTCATTCAGTTCCAGACTTCAAGCCAGCATCCCGTCATTCCTACACTTCTGTTCCCGCATCCGATCTCTCCTTTCACACCGCTAATGAGTCTATTAATAAAAATAACACCAATGATGGCGTCATAAGCTGGTTCACCAATGATTCACTCGGTAAAAAGGGCAATCGCAGCAGCGCACCAAGCTCTCGTCCCCACTCCCCCCAAAAGTCCTCCACCTCTATCAAGTCTTCCTATCATCCCTTACCACTTGATCCTTCCGCGATCGACGGCGATGAAGATAACTTCCGCCTTCCTAATCCGCTAACGGAAAACCCGCCAACCCCGCGTCACAATTTTCCCTCTTCATCCTCCAAATATTCCTCCGAAGCTCCCTCTGCAATGGCTCCAGATAGCAATGAACAAACTGCAGGCCCCAGCAGCGACATAACAGACGAATCATCCTGGCCTTTACCGCTTCGCTCCCCAGAAATACGCGAACTAACACCCAAGCCCCTGCGCACCCGTGATTCAGGCTCGGGCGATAGTTTCAAGTCGAAGAGTTATGGAGATTTAAAACCTGCTACACCACCTATCATGGTTGGCGGCGACGGAATCGGACGACAGGTCAGCAGTGGAACTGATTTTGCAGGTCAGCGAGGAGGTTACAGAAGAGACGTCAGTGGGAAAATAGCGGAGGAAGGGAGAGGAGGTGCGGCCTGGGGAGCGAGATTGAGGAATATTAGCGGGTTGCAAGAGTTGTAATTTTATTAATGATCACGAAATGATATTTTGGGATATAGGATGTAAGTCATTCGGGAGAGAATCGCGATAAAGCTTTTGATGTAAGATTTTGGACAAACAAAGTCCTGATCAACGGGGCGAATGTATAAATCAGGTCTTATCTTCCATGATCGCTCACTCCTTTGACTGAAACATCATTGGGATGATGGGATTCATATACGTTGTATACAATTCTTTGCTGTAAAGATTTTGGACGACGGATACCGGAAATTTCGGGTGCTGGGTGTGGGTTTTGAATATGGAAGAAACACGGGAGCTTGGGCATACGTATACGAGACATGTTAATATGGGTTTTTTGGGCTTTGTATTTGCGTTGCTATGTATGAAGGAACGGTTTATTTTACACATTATCTAGCTTTGGCCATTTGTAGTTTTTCAATATTCATTGTATATATATCCCTGTTATCGACATCATATATTGAGAATGAACTACTTTTCCTCAAACTTTGCTGTTAAGCTCTTGTGTGTTATATTATTAAGTGTACTCTTACGGTGCTTGATGTGAGCATAGTGGCCTCTGTCAAAGAATGATCCATATTAGTTGAGAGGCTCCATGGACGACAATCGACAGCTCATCAGCTCAATTGATAAGTCGTCAAGGAAGCTTATTTCGTCACGCATGGGGTTTAAAGAGCTCTCATGCGCCTCGTGAATTTGGCCAAAGAGCCGCTTCTACCCTAAAGTAGATGGTACACATCGTTTTCCTCAGTTGGGAAGACGTAAAGGATAATAGTAGTCACAGTACCCGTCCACTTATATTAGCTGATTGTTACGAGGTTTGCCGTCTAGATCACGTGGAAGTGCTCTAGGCTCTCAAGGTGGTTTATAACTAGGCGTCAAGCAGGGACTTAAAGTAATGACAATAATGCAATTCGTAACTAATAGTAGAGTATACTAAATGATTGATCTTGAGCACGAAGCTCTATACAAAGGAAATCCATCTTGATTATATAGTCCTTCATGCTTCTATGATCACTGGTGATCCTTCATGATCACCAGTGATCACCTATATCGTGATCCTTAGTGATCCTTAATGATCACTACTGATCATTTGTGATCACGTGTCTTGGTAGTTGTGTAGCCCATCGTAACAGTTGGCTATTTCTTGATGTCGATGGCAGTATGGACATCGTAATTCATGATCCATCCAGAGGACATATCTTGGGACCAATAATATCCGAAGACCCTTCGTATCATGAGCGTTTGCCCGTTTAAAACTAAGAATATATAAAAAGTATTATATATGGCATTTCCAGTCCATTAGCATCGTTGTAGACTTTTTATGTGAGGATAAAACAGTGTGTCTGGTGGCATCTCTAACTGTATGTCAGTTCTTCTGTAGTTCCAGAAAGATCCCTTCAAGTTTGCTGATCATATAAATCACTATGATCCTTAAGCTGCCCGCGAAATATGAGGGTTTTCAAAATTTCTTTGCCTTTTCTAATTGCAACTCCCCTAATTTTAGACGAGTTAAACGTGTGGCGAGGCGGTGATTTCTAAACAGTGATACAGTAGTGGGAACTAGAACCAATGAAGCTGGCTGAGCTCTTTATACAAGAAAACTTCTTGTATCCAGACTTTTCCACTCCGTCGTATATATACCAGTTAATAGTCTCTTGTCCTGACGCTGTGCTTCCAACTTTGTCTCTCCTAAAGAAAGTTCTTTTTAGCAGTGATACCATGTAACCAAATCTTGTGCGATGAGTGATGGACTGAGATTATTGGCTGGTAATACTGTGCTTAACAAGTTACTGCATGTACTTATTATATTCAACTTAGTTTATACTTGAAATCAAGTTGGAATATTACATCAATCTTATTTCTCGACTGCATCCGAGGTAGGGCGACAAATGGATCCAATCACTGGTATCAGATTGAAACACCCACACATTCTCAGGACAAAAACGCTCTCGTAAATGCAGCAGTGCGGATTATTAAACCCTACTTCAACTTGGCCCAATGGGTTCATTATTCATGCAGTGCAATGGCATTGTTCTGTTTCATGTAAGAGTTACAAAAAAAGCAATAGCGAGCGAATTAGTTCCTCTTGGAGGTATGGTGCTGTGAGGAACTTTAGAAATTCTACATGGCGGAAATCATCACTGGTCGGGGCATACCAGAAGCAAGACCTATTTCGTACAGGAAGATGCGTCAGTAGATAATAAGACAAGCTAGCTATTTGAAGGCCGTCCGGCTACACACGAGAATAACAAAAGGGACATATGAAACCCGAGTACTTTTTTCATTCTTCCTGAGTGGGTGTTGGTGTTACTGGAAGTTAGCTACATTTTCGAACTTGCTCTTATGAATCACACGTCTCTAGCCAAGCAGGGGATGGACGAGGAAGAAGAGAAGGAGGAATATCTGAATTCAATACGGTAACTGAAGCATACCCAAAGACCTAGCTTTACATCACAATACGGGCGTTCGAGAATCATGATTCGAAGAGTAGCACTTCATGTTCCGACATTTGATAGGAGTCAAGACATTCCGATGCATAGTTGCTATTGGGACATTGAAATCATTATATTTTTTAATTTTTTTTTCATTGTTATTCTATAGAGGCTAATGCTGATACTAATACTAATAATGATACTGACACTGACGCTGAGAGTGATATTGATACTGACACCGATACTGAGACTGACGCTGAGCTTGAAACCAAGACTTATACGCACAAAACAGCAAAACCAAAGCCGAAAAAGACAAAAACAGAAGCTACCCAATGTAGAAGAAAACAAGCCAAAAAACACAAAAACAGAGAACTCCTTCCCCTCCAAAATAATAGACCAAAAAGCCTTTCAGTTTTTTTATTCTTTTCAAAAACAAAAAAACAAAAAAAACAACCGACAACTCTATCCCTTCTTCTTCCTATCCAAAAAATCAGACCAAAAACGCCTTCTAGTTTTTTTTTCATTTGATTCCAAAAACAAGGACCGATTCTCCTTTTCCTCCTCTTCTTTTCGCCCAAAAAATCACACCAAAAACGCCCTTTTTTGATTATTCAAAAGAGTTAAATGATGCCTCCTTTTCTTTTCCTTCTCTCTTTTCCCTCCAAAAAAAAAATCACACCAGAAAAGCCTTTTCTTTTTTTATTATTGTTTTTAAAAAGGAAGACCGATGACTCCTTCTGTTCCTTTCCTTTCCATTCAAAAAATCAGACCAAAAACGCCTTTTGTTTTTTTATTCAAAAAAAGATGATCTATGTCTCCTTCTCCTCCCCTTCTTCAATCGTCGACCCCGTCGAGCGATCCGAAGCCCGCACGAATCATCTCGTCCAATGGTCCAATGGTGATGGTGGACGTGGTGATGCACTTGTTGGGGGACTTGTTGCGTACTGTCAAGCCCAAGGTCTTTCTCTCGGCTAAAAAATCGCCCCAAGCATTTGTAAGTGGTTCAAGGACTTCTGCGCACTCCGGTTCATTGGCCGGCTCAGCGACTTCTGCAAATTCTGGCTCTCTGACTGGCTCAGAGACTTTTGTACATTTGGGTTCTTTGGTTATCTCGGAATCAACGGCGCGCTTCTTTTTTCCGAATCTTCTGGGAACTCTGCGACCACCAGTCGAGGATCCTGGGGAGCGTATGGGCCTGCTTTCCCAGCCATTTTCGGTGCTGGCCCAGTGGACTCGTCGAGGAGTTTTATGCTCCTCAGATGAATCCAAAACACCGGTTCGGGGGTTGAATCCAGTGACACCAAGGCGATCATCGGTCAAATGATTGACGTGTCCAGTGTGGTCCTTAGATGAAGATTTTTCGGGCTGAAGCTGCTCAGGCGACTTGATACCGAGGAATTCATCGGACAAATCCTTGATGTGTAGATCATATTCATCGGCCGAAAAGACTTCGAAACCAGAATGCTCTTTGGCAGGCAGAGCTTGTTCCTCCATCTTGTTCTTCCCAAGTGGGCAGCTGGGATGAGGCTCGCAGGAACAGCTAAAATGACGAGGGCAATAGAAGATTGGAGCCTCAGCCTCATCCGTGGACTCAAATGGGACTGTTTCAAAGAATATTGTGGTATTATCCAAAGCTCCAAGACGTCCCTTATTTAGTCGTTTGGCGTGGCCCTTCTCTGCTCGGTTACTAGGGTGCAATGCCTTCAGGGGAGCCATGAGCTCATGAGTTGAAGATACATATTGGCGAAGCTTGCTTCGGCATCTTTCATGATTTGAGATCCGGGTGTTTTCCAACGAATTGTGAACGACTGTCGCTGATTCTGAGACCGACTTTGAGGTGGGATCACTGTGAAGCTGCGAGTTCTCCGAGCGAAGTTTCTTTAATTCTAATTCTTGATTGAATAGCTTCGCTTGCAAAGCATTCAACTGTTTCTCCTCTGGAGATACGAAGATCTCGTCAATGCCATCTTGTGAATAGATGGAGATTGAGTAATCAGAGGAGGAGAATTTCTTCTTCTGGTAAACATTGTTTGTGAAGGATTCTACCTTCAATATTTTTGATGGTGCAATAAATTGCTGAGTCGAGGAGAGTGACTTCGATGATAGGCATCGGCGAATTTTGTTCTTATATTCTTGACGCCTTGAGATCCTGGGGACCTCGGAGGGTTCCAATGGGCTATGGATGATTGTCTCCGTAGAGTCTTTAGAATCATCTCGGTCATAATGATGAGTGGAAGATTCTTCCTCCAACTTGTTCAAGAGTGCCATGGTTTCCCGAGTTGAGAATAGAGATTTCGAGGATAGGCATCGACGAATCTTGTTCTTGTACTCTTGGCGTCGTGAAACCTTAGGGACCTCGGAGGTTTCCGATGGGTTATGAATGATTGTCTCTGTGGAGTTCTTGGAATCATCATGGCCGTCAAGGCCATTGACGTGATGAGTGGAAGATTTTCCCGTGGGTAGATTATGCGTAAGACTCTCCATAGAGACTTCAGAAACAGGGCATTCCGAGGATCCTTCCTTCAGGGTCTCGAAGTGTGCGACGAGTTCCTGAACGGAGGCTTGACATTGGGGAAGATTATTTTCCTCGGCCTCACATGGGCCATAAATGATTGTCTCTTCATTTGCAGAAATGCCATGAGAAACAATCTCTTCTTCTGGGAAGTCTTCTACAGAAGGAGCCTTATAAAACACAGTCTTTTCTTTTGAAGAGGGACTATGAGACACAGTCTCTTCTTCTGGAATGTCTTCCATTGAACGAGCCTTATAAATTATACCATCTTCTTTCAAAGATGATTTGAGAGAAATGGTCTCTTCTTCTGACAAATCATCCTCGGAAGGGGGATAACACATGATAAAATCTTCTCCTGAAAATTCTTCCCATGGATTGACCCTATGAATGACACTTCCATCCGAGGAAGAATCATCAAAGATAGAGTCATCTAATCGAGAGGATCTACGTCGTGATATGATCCCTCCATTTGAAACATATCTAAATCCATTGGATCTTCTAGGTTTTCTCGAGCGACGAAGTCGAGAAGGTATAAGGTCTTTAGCACCGCTCAATGTGGACTGCATGATGGCGTTTAAACCCATGTTGATGATAGGTGAGTCGACGAAGTTGGACCCGAAGGCGATGTGAAGAGTGGTTTATTGGTGTTTGAGATGTAAAGTTGAATGTATGATATGTATGTGTATAATCGGGATGATAATAAGGCGAAAGCGTTTCAAAGACGATAGTAAGAGTGGCTTGAATGGTACTTGAGTTGTAAGCTTCAACGTATAACATACACGTATGCAAGTCAGGTTGTGATAAGGCGAAAAAGCGTGTTGAAAGTGTTGTAAAGTGTGAGTTGAATAGTGTTTGAATAAGTAAAGTTGAATGTTCAAATGTACGATTGGAATTGTGATAAAGCAAGTAGAAATTGTTATTAAAAAGTATTGTACGCTTTGAACTTTGTCCGAAGAAAGAAGAGAGAAAGGGAGGTGAGGAGGGGGAAGAGAATCATCTTATAAAACAAGACGCCCATATCGTCCAGTTCTGACTCTAGCATCAGTTAGATATGGCTCTACTATAGCTTGATCTAAAATGAGTCCATGGAGAAAACCTCTCCGCTAGTGATCAGTAGTATATAGAACGGAGGGATTCCCCAGATCACTAGCGGGGAAGCGCGCCATTTTAGTCTTGTTTGTTTAAGCCCTAGAAAGATTTTTATTCTCTTTAAGATGGTCTATCATCGAGGGTATATGCGTCACCTGACTCTAGTCAAGATAGAAATTCAGGTGGCTCCTTCTAGATTCGGCGAAGTATGTTGACTTTCCCACTAAGCCAAGCACTAAGTCGTCTAGTTATTGACTACTTTAGTGACAGCACCACGACACACCAATAAATTAGGTAGCTTGTGATATACATAGTGTGTTATTAAGCCTACTTAGGTTATAAAACTACCCCAAAAGAAGCAGACTATGGTAGCTAGAAACTGTTTGCATCAAAACTAATCCCTTATCTAGAACGATGCAGTGAGACCAAGGGAGGAGTTTTTGTTGTCAAGTTTAGCTGTATACACTCCTGCATGATACTGCAGCATTTTAATTTACTCGGGATACTCTTGACCATCTTCTGCTAATAAAGGCTGAAGTATCACCACACTGTAGCTAGTTCCTTAGGATTATGTATCAACGCGTCATACTACAAGTGCGAGCTTTTTTCGAACCTAACCTTTCTCACAAGATTCTAGAATTTGAATTTGGCGATATAGGCCTCTGGTTCAAGCTTATGACCAAAACTCTGTCAGGACTTAGTATAAATTGGCGCTATTGTAAACCCGATACCAACTAGCAAGCATCGACAATTAATCTGCAAAGCAACGATGAAATTTTTTGCAAGGACAGCAATAGCCAGAGCCTTATTTTCAAATACCGAGGCACCTTTCCCAACTAGTGTGAAGAATCACGCTAGTTCTCTAAGGGTCTAGCTCTTAACAAGTGCGTTTTTTAGCGTCCAGTAGCCTACTACATTGAGAAGGAATGATAGCACTCAGCATAACTCTATTGTGAGCTACGTATATAAGAACGCCTCAATCGTTGAACTTTATGGATCGACTAGGAGGAACGGCCGTGGATGAATCGTGAACTTTACCAATGATGCTATATAGGTAGGTATCTATCGGAGCAGGGCCGCATTTATTTTGTCGGACATTACAGCGACGTCGGAGCAAAAGTTTACACAGGCGTCGAACTTCGACATTAAGGCAATGTACACACATATATTGATTTAAAAGAATCTCCAACATAAATCTATTTGTTGACTATCTTTCTGAAAATACTTTACAAATAGAAACCCGCAACTACACTTCAATGCAGCGTGACACATAGTTAAGTAAATTAGTGTATGTTCTGCTCTGAATCATACTGTATTTACTTCGAACGAAAAGCCACAGCCTGCAGGCATAAGGGAATACAGACGATGGAAATAGAGTTCTGCACAAAGAAATGAAGCGATGGACTAACCGGCAACGAACGATAAAGAAGACCTTCATTTACCGATACAGCACTCTCCTTTACCCCACCAAAAATAAGCGAGAAGAGAAAAATAAGACATACACCACCGCAATTTCAGAACTTATTAGCATTGTGAGCGGATGGAAAATTTGGAGCCTGGGAATGGGATTTATCATCATTATCCTAGTCCAGTATTACCAGACCTGTTAAACCCCCAAAAATGCATTGTACAATTGAGTTATAAAAGAAAGATAGAAGATGCTTCAAAGAAACTACCATCTCGAAGGCCCCCTTCTGTACGGACCCTGGTCTACATTCCCTGCCCTTGCTTTTGAAAAGTTATCACTAACTCTCCTATCATTTTCAAAATCTGAAAATGATGATTTGCCAAATGGTCGCAGATCGCTGCCTCCATGCACCCTCTTCATTGGACTTGATTCTCTTTCCCTTTGGTCTCTTATTTCCCTCCCTGCCATATCTAGAGAACTTTTGGGTATATCTCGACGATCTCGTCCCTGCACGTCAAACATGCTACTGACCTTTTTCAACGGGGAATTGGCATGACTGTATATACCCAAGCTTCCACCATCCGCTGTTCCGGCAGATGTAGATGTGACGCTGTTGGGTGTAGTTTGGCGAAACTGAGGTTGTCTCATCGCTGTGTTTGGTACCTTTCTGTTGTAAGGCGAATCACGCGGTTTGTTGAACGAAGTAGAAATAAAGGATGGGGCAGGAGAGAAAATCTGTCGGGAGACTGGCTTGCTAGGACTCACGCTATCTGGATCGACAAATTTAGAGTAATTAGGGTTTGGATTAGTACGAAAGCCTTTTTTGAGAACCACACTTGGTGTGTATATTTCAATTTCTTCCTCTCGACCAGTCTTGACTTTAGCACCCGGCCCGGAAAACTGCGTGCCGACATCTCGCATGACTGGATTCGTTCGGGGATGGACAAATTTGATATCATATTCACTCATGACTTCTTTCTGTATGATGCTAGTGTCTTTTTCTTGCTGTGAAAAGTTTGTTTGTAGGAAAAGTAATTGCCCAGTCATCAACAGTTCCAAAACCAGAGTAGTGAAAATCGTAACACTTGGTCGCGAGTCTGATGATAATGTCGGGAGAAACAGCCAATAGACCAACACGTGCCCCGGACTGAACAGACAGAATAATCTTAGGCAAACTGGTATAGGATCCCAAACAGCAATCTCCCAAACGTCCCGAGTCGGATCTGGATGAGCTCTTGATTGCGCGTCTGTATCCCCTAGTATAGTTGAGAGGAAACGAAGAGGAGAGGAAGATACCGGCGAGGAGTCGATGCGCACTCTTTGAGCAGAAGGAGTGGTCGGTGCGGCATCAATGGAACTCTCGAAGAGGCGGTAACGTCGTTTTCGTGAGAATGTCGATATTGCATTTAAGATCGACAATGCCGTCAATATATAGACGACTAGTGTAGACTATCATGTCAGTTAGTTTCAAGCTCTAGATACCAGTATTCATAATGGTGAGCCTTACCAAATAGCTCAACCAGCCAGTGCCTGAAGGCACATCTCCAAAGACATCGTCTACATTCCCAGATCCCCCATTTCCACTATTCGCCCTTGCAATTAATAACATAAAGTGCAATCCAAATGCTAGAGGGTTAGCATATGCCTTAGAGTCCCAATCTCTCGTCTCGATTTCTTCTGAAATCCATAGCACCCAATCGTGAATGTTAAACCAATCCGTAATCCGTTCACGGAGCGGTCTTCGGCGCACAAGTCGCGGCATGATGGACAATATATTGATAATATTCTCACATCATTGAGAGTCAATCTAGGAGCGACAATCGTGAAGCCGATGAAAATTTGGAATCGAATTTGCTTTGTTGAGATTTTTGTTTCTTTTGTTTATCACAAAGTTGTTCTGGAATAATGACTTATTATTTTGGTGTGGGTCGTAGGAGCTGCGGCTGCAACCAGGGGTACCGTACGCTAGTGCTGAAATTTAGTGGGGTCTTAGAGCTCACCTTGCTTGATGTTGCCGTTGTATTAATTGCTTGGTGAAGTATATCAGGCAAACAAAGACAAGATGGCAGCTCCAGCATCTGCCTATAAAGATAGGCAATTCCTCGCTGTTATTGGTGATGAGGTGAGCTTCAAGCTTATCCAAGCTGTTGCCAATATTGCTAACCAGCCTTGCAGGATTCCGTAACTGGATTGTTGTTGGCAGGTATTGGTGTACGAAATTCCCTATTCCACTACACGTTTACTGCTTGAGGAGGAGGTCACTGATGAAGGCATAGCATGTCACCTCGCCACCGGACTCGCAGAAGAACTTCCTCGTTGTCGATAGCAAGACAGATAATGCTGCCATTGAGGAAGCCTTCGAGAGATTCACAACTGAGAGGAAGGATATCGGCATTCTATTGATCAACCAACATGTAAGATAATTTTTAAAACTAGTGATAGAGGCTATGAGACTAAGGAGGGTTTTGCAGATTGCGGAACGTATACGCCATCGGGTTGATACCTACACAGCCGCATTCCCAGCATTACTGGAGATACCTAGTAAGGACCACCCATACGACCCGGAGAAGGATAGTGTTTTGCGAAGAGTCCGAAGACTCTTTGGAGAGTGAGGGTTCGTCCAGGAAATTCTAGGAGGTGATTACGCGGTATTGTTGGTGTTGTGTGTTTATATTGCTAGAGAGTTGGGCGTTTTCGAGATTGACACCTGGAACGGGTTATTTATATCAAACAATGAATACAAGAGCATGCCAATGTCACGATTTCACGCATCATTCCTTGAAGTCTTTACAAATAGACATAAGCACACCTCATGATCAATGAGCTTCAGCGGCCGGGACATTACATAGTACCCACCCTGGTCAGTTGAAAATCATTCATTCGACATGGACTAACACAGTCAATTGATAAATATAGGGCCAAAACAACGGTTCCCGTATTAATGCATTCGTTTATTCTCGTATGATCAGTTCTCGTAAAACAGCGCACCAAAACGCAAATCAAAAGCTCCGGGGTCAGAGATATCTGTCCAGGTACAGCGTGCCCCAGAAAGAAAACTTCCTCATCATCAATTATCTCAACAAGCCCATGTGTAAATCTCTGCTCTTCGCGAAATCCTAAGTACAATTTGAGAGTATTATGCCACTATGGTAGTACTGGGTTGTCTAACGAGTAAACGTAACCGTTGCTTCTAAACAAATGATATGCTCCTTGCCATCCTTGGAATATGCATCGGCGAAGACGGTGTAAGTTCCCTGATATATGAGTTAGAGAAGAAAAAGAAATAGAAGGCACGTTAAGAACTTACCGGAGGAATCTCCTTTGGTAGGTCAACATCCTTCGTGATTGTGATCTTTCCTTCATCAATCGGGCAATCCAAATCGACGTTAGATACCTGATCGCACAGATCCTGCTGCATATTGATAAGTCTTATCAAGCCATATTTGACCTGCAAGATAACATATGCACCCTTCTCTAACTTCTGCGATAATGTACCGACCGCCTCGATGGTGAGTTTATTCCCACTATTATCTAATTAGCCTCTGCTGCCATTTCCCAAGATCTCACAAATTGTGCATACGCAGTTGGAGGATTAGGAGTCAAATTGACGTGGTCGAGCTTTAGAATATCGGAAGAATGGTCGGCTTTGCAGTATGTAAGAGGATTGCTGCCAGGAACGGCTCCTCCCTTATCTTCGAGGACTTTTTGACCATTTCTAAAGAACGATAAGCCCTCTGCAGCGACGAAAGTGCTGCAGAAAAGTAAACTAATGAGATTGATGGAAATCTTCATGATTAATTTTGGTCTATGGTATCTGATGTTGTTGTTGTGCAGCTATTTACAAGGTTGGGCGGTGATGAAGTATTGAAGAGGCGGGTATACCTAGGCATTAATTACACCAGGTTGCTAGCCCGGTTGGGGTGACGTTTGGGTCAGAAGACAGTCTGATATCAAGCTAAGTGTGGCTGAGAAATGATGGAATTTTAGTGAATCTAATTGTCTCTTTACAAAGAACGCATTGCTCAATCAGTATAAATGTAAATATAAATATCAAATTAATAAATAATGTTTGTCTAGATGTATACAGTCAATACTACTCAAAGCGCCCAAAAAACTCAAATAATACATCCACAAATATCATAGGTAAAAATAGATGAGCCTAGATCGGTACGTATTAACCCCCCTGACTTGCTCCGTACGCTAACCCCTCATCAGCTATCGTGCTGTGGCTGAGTGTGCACCTACCATCATTCCATTCGATTCATAGTTGTTTCGCCATTTGACTGGTCTAACTTCTTTCTATATAAAACAAGCATCACCTATCTACACCTGTTTATTGCTCAAATATCCTACGGGAGAAAGCTATCTCCTCTTCCTAAAGTACCTGAAGATCTCATAACAACTCATAAAGAAACGTCACACTCAAGATGGATGAATTTGCCCCTCCTACTGGCCCTCCGCCCCCCAAAGTTCCAGCAGGATACAAAGCAGTATGGAACGACCAATATAAAGAATGGTTGGCATTTCATCTCCCTTGATGAGCCAATGAGAATTAACAGTTTCCTAGGTTTTATGTAAACATCTACACCAAAAAGTCCACCTGGGACAAACCCACTGAACCCGTCTACCCTTCCGACGATAGCGCTCCTGCCGGTCCTCCTCCCGGCTATTCCGGCGGCTCCTCCTCCAATTACCCCTCCGACACAAAAAGTAATCCCTATGATCCCTCCCCCAATACCGAAAGCGATGCCGAACTCGCCCGCCGTCTGCAAGCCGAGGAAGATGCCCGCGGAGGTTCAAGCAGTGGGATGCGGGGAAACGCTCAACAGGATTATCAGAATACTCCTATGCCTTCTTATTCGGAACAGGAATTGCCTCCGCGCGAACAGAAAAAGGGTTTCTTTGGCAAACTCTTAGGAAAGGCTGGTGGATCAGGTTCAAGTCATGCGCCGCAGCAACAGTATCAACAGCAATATGCGCAACAGCCGCAATATAGTGGATATCAACAACAACAACAGTATCCACCACAAGGATATCCACCTCAAGGCTACCCGTCTCAGGGCTATCCGCCGCAACAAGCTGGTTATGGAGGATATGGAGGGGGTTACGGAGGTGGCTATCAGCAGCAGAGGCCGCAAAAGAGTGGTGGTGGGTTGGGTATGGCTGGAGGAGCGGCTTTAGGATTAGGTGGAGGATTGATTGGTGGAATGTTACTTGAGGATGCGTAAGTTGTCAAAGATTGCCATGATATTCCTGGGAGAGACTGACTGGTTTCCAATACAGCATCCAAGATCACGATCAAAATGAATACAATCAAGGTTACGTGGACGGTGCAGATAATGGTGGGGATTTTGGCGGAGATGATGGAGGAGATTTTGGTGGTGATGACTTCTAGTTTCGAGAGACTTCGAGTCGTTATGAAATGATGAAATGAATGATATGAACTCGATATTTACTGCAAATACTCATGATGAATATAAACTACATACTATGAGATACTAGATCCACTACTGTAGGAGAAAATAGAGTCAGGAAAGCTGTAAAAGTACATAACCTGAGCACGCTTCATATCCAAATGCCCTTGTAGACATTATATACCTCAATCCAACTCCGTAACACATTTCAATGCTCAAACTTCAAATACAAGTTCAGCAAACGAACAAACAATCTCTTAGTCCCATCTAAATATAAAATCTAGAAAAAGAGTATATTTCACAACCTATGTAACTATTTTATACATTATATGACTCCTAGCCTACATGGTAGATTCCTCAAATCAGTATTTAAGAATTCTCTTATATCTTATCTTTCATCTCTGATATTCCATACGAGCTCTGATTTCTGATCTACGATCAGCTCGTTCCATATGGTTCTTCCCAGAGATGCATGTAGCTACTAGATATTTGATACTACCTAGATACTAGATACTTGGTATCCCCTATATATCCGGATCTTATTCAATAGATCGATCTAACCTAAACGCCTCGCTTCGTTTCCCCTTCAGCATTGGCTAGGTAGGTACAATACCTACCTAGGAATATCCCATTTTGATCAACCAACTCCTTTCTGTGTACACAGCTAAGGATTTGATTAGACGGTGAAATTTTATCCAAATCAAATCACCTATGCTTTTCCCCAACGCCGAGTTTTATGTTTTTCCCATTTGCGCGTGTGTTAGACCTGCTGATTTGAACCAGCATGATGGGCCAGCCAAAACGGACCGGACAAAGCCTATTCAATCATAGCATCTACATCCTTTTCCGTAGTCCTCGCTGGAGCTCCTCCTGCTCCTCTCCCAGCAGGCCCACTAATCAAGCCTCTGGTGTCGCTCTGGCACCCGGGACAATTATGCACCACATCATGTGCAAAAACATCACAATCTATGCAAAAGTGATTTCCACAGACCTCACATGCATATCTCCCACTTTCACTCATACTCTTCAATCCGGGTTCTGGTGCTCCCTTCTCGTGCTCATCCCTTCTCGGGAAAGGTGCTTGACATCCATAACAAGCCCTAGTTTTTCCTGCATCTTTCCAGAGGACTTCCACCCAGTTTCGCAAAGGGAATAGATGATGATATGAGCGGGCCAAATGGGTGGAGAGGATAAGTGTGAGACCGCATGCCGGGCATTCGGCTGGTAGTGAGCACACTTTACTACCGCAGCGAGAACAGAGGTAACCTCCTCTACTTAACTTGCCATGACATGCGCAAAAACTCATACTTTTCCCCGGTCCGAGTGTCCGAGATGGAAACCCCATCATGAGTAAACTACTATGAGATTGTTTTTTAGTACGCGTCACCGGGGGCGTTGTAGTCGCCATCATCAATTGTCTGAAGTGCTCCTCGTTCAGCGCAACAGAATATGCCGTATCATCCCCAGCATTAGTGCGTGAGCATATTTCGGCGCAAATGGCAACTTGGGCCGCGAGGCCTACAATACTAACCCGTATGCGGTCCGCTATGAGCGAGGAGATTGTTTCGTGGATATCGCCCGGGTCACTCGTAAGAAGAGCACCGTAGATAATAAGGATTTCCCTTGTACCATGGCTTGGAGCGTGGAAAAGTGCGGCTCTGCTCATCTCCAACGCATTTTGTAAACTAGGATTTCCTTGACCTTGGTCTACACGGAGACTTTTTAATCGTTCAATATGCTCGGTAGGATTTCCACTCATATCTGAAATACGCACTGCGATGCCATCGCGCATGCCAATGATGCCAAGCTGTGAGATAGGGTTTTGTTCGAAGTATTCTGTGACGAATTCGCTGGCGTAGCGGAGAGTAAGAAGGTAGCGCGTGGGGCGCATGTCTTTTTCTGTCATGGAGAAGGATAGATCGAGAATGAGTATTAGATGGCGGATAATACCTCGCTGTAAGGGCGTTGTATCTCTCAGCAATCTGTGTAGCCATATATCAGCACGTTGCCAAATCCCCGAAGCTTTAAAGAGAGAGAGCTTCTCTTACCTCTTCCTCTTGTTGGCCTCCCTCAACCCCTCAACCGCGGAATTGATACTACCATCTGCTCCTTCGACAACAGTGTCCCAACTTCTCTGAATGTCTTCCCAGGCAGCTCTCCGTCTATTACCTCCCCCATTTGTAGCCTTTTCTCTGGTAGTTGATCCAGCGGGCCCCGCCGCAGCTCCAGTAGACCGCGTGCCATGTCCGGCATTTACAATGGCGGGGGCTCCAATATCATCATCTGAGAGATCATCCACATATTCACCATCCGAGTCTGCCATTGTTGCAGCTGAAGCAAGTGAAAGAACTGAATCTGGGGCGCAAAAAATGTATGAATGATAGGTATTGAAAGCCAAGGCTGAGGTCTTTGACAAATGTCAAGGCTAGAACTTGCTGGAGAATTTAGTGGAGCTACTTGAGTGGTTGATTGCCGAGCCAAGATTAGGAGGGCATGATAACAATGCTTTATTCAGCTTTACGGGAAGAAAGAAATAAATTGGGACATGTCATTCTGATGATCAGATCTCAACAATTAATCTAATACGCTTTTTCCAGTACACTGTGGATATTAGAGCTTAAGGTCAGGGTCAGGGGCAAACCAGACAATAGAATGTCCTCATTGGCTTCACCGTCCCATGAGGGTACCCAGGAACAAAGCACTTCTCATGCAAGTCTGCATTGGCATCGATCCACGCACTGCACAAGCTATCTTAGCAAGCTACCACGCGTTGAAATATTAGATGAAGTGGGGCACAAGTCCAAGATTGCATACAGTCAAGGTATGATGTAGTAATCTGATGCTCTGAATTAATCTCTATTCTCCTCCTATTATAAGTTCCATGTTGGGTATAATACTCGCAAAATCACTATACAAGCCATTCCACCAATTCATATAATCATTCCCAGCTGCCCCTGCCATTATTACTCGACATCTTGTCGTGTGGCGTCATATTGCCCGTCCTCATTACCCCGTAGACAGGAGCTGTAGCTGCAATACATACTATCCTTTAAGCCAATATTCATGCTATTTATGTAGCAAGATGTACCATTCCGCGCATTAAATTAATATTGTTGTAAGACTTTTCGTATCCCCATTATAACAAAATTCCTAACTCCATTGCTCCCTAATTTTCTTAATTTCGTCATGAGTATGTGTTTGTGACTGGCATTGGCCAATCATCTTCTGTGATACTTGACCAAAAGGTCCATACCATGACCACAGATAGTAGAGTAAAGAGCGTCTCGAAAAGAGCTCCATCGATTTTTCCGTTCGTGCCGTTGCAAATATGAGTGCTGATAACATAGTTGAAGATCTGGCCCAGAGCGAATAGAACAGCTGCACCAACTAAAAAGATCATGGGCTTACGCTCGCCCAAAACTTTGATGACCAAAACTGTTTCTAGGACGAAAAATACGAACAGAAACACCAATGGCGCGAGTTGATATAGGACGTAGAGCGCGATATTTCGAGCCTCGCCGTTGCCATGGCCAACTAAACTTGAGTCGAAATGTCCTGTCCAGCTGTACCCAGTATCAAGGGCGATGTATCCAGTTCCGATGAAGATAGCTGCTGCTGAAGCAACCATAAGGCCTAGTGACATGGCTGTCCCGTCATCGATTATCTGATAGCCCACGACAGCATTCAACATTAGAATCCATAATGTCGCGCTAATCATTCCGAGGTGGATACCCGTGAATGCCTGGAGTAACGGTCAGCTCCCGCATATGGGGCTTGAGAGCTTGGTCCTACTTACTATCCGAACAGTTGCGCTCAGAGGAAACTCTCCCACAGTAAATATTTCACATATTTCTATAATCAGATAACCTAAGAGGAAAAGTTGCATTTCTCTAGAGAAAAATTGTTAGCAACACAATTCAAGAATTTTGTCCCTAGAAGTTTGGTATACCTTCTTCCCACTGCTGCCTGCTTTCGGTCCGACCGCCATATCAAGAATGCAGTAATGACAATTGCGATTCCTGCAATTAATATTGAGCCTCCGGGAAAGTTAGTCTATGGCTTTGCAGTAAATTGAATCGCGGGAACGAACCCAAGTTTCCCAAATATTTTCTACCACCCAATGATATACCGGTAAGCTCGCAGCCCCCATATCCGAAGTTGTTGTTTCTAGGAGGATTGAATAGCTATTGAAAAGCCCGGTTAGCAACGTTGAATCGCGAATCGTATTTTGAATCTGAGGATTGAGTGGTACGAACGTTGCAGACTGGTAACGTCGAGTCACGGCAGAAATGCTGGATAGAACATTTGTCAGTAATCGATTTCAAATTTCAAAAGCGATTGGATTGTGCAAATCTACTCACATGGAAATTTCCAAATTGTGTTGAGCCCATCTTCTCTCAACGAAGCAAACAATTCGCGATTGAGCGCGGGAGATCTCGGTAATATCTAGTGGCTTTAATTTTTATTGCCTTGTAAACAAAGAGTAAAATTGATTATTTTCGTAGTTGCGAAATTCCAAAGCGCGCGTTTATATTGTGATTTGTGTTTGTGAATGAAGCATTGATCAAAGGTAATGCTGCCTCACAGTTCCCATTCCAATGGTTTCTGTTCCTGTTTGTAGTTCTGTTCTTTCCTGACTATAAACCCCCAATCTCGATCCTTCCCTCAGCTCAGCGTTCCCCAATTATTAATGTTGATGTGCTAGAATGGAAATTCAGGAACGAGACGCTAGAATTATTAGTATGCTGCTTTACATTGACGTTCGTTCAACGATTGTTTGAAGTAATCCTGGTCGCAGAATCAAGTTTCGCAATTGCGAGTATATTTGTAGCCTTATATGAGTCTTGACGGATCTTGATACAATGGAGAAACTGGAAAACACACGAAAGTATAATTTTGATAAGATTAGAGATTGAGAAAGGCAGATTATGTGTGCAAGCGTGAGTTATTCAAGGACTGGGAAGTGAATTTGCCCTTGATGCAAAATGCGCTGGTCAAAATGGCGAAGGCTGGTCACCGTAGCCAAAACGAGGTAGACAATTCGATGACTTTAAATTATGCAATGGCATCCGACCCGTTCGAATCCTGGAAATCTTTCCTTTTTCTTCATAAAAATGTCATCAATCCCTGGTTCCTTACAATGCTCGTTACCTGGAGAACATTATTCTTCCGTGGTAGCGAAATGATCGTGTCGGAGCAAAATTGGTCTAAGGTCGAATCAGGTGGTGAATGGTTACAACGATGAAATGTGATTGAGCAAGCATTAGAAAAAAGGAAGAGTAACCGGTAAGAAAAAGTCACAGAGAAGGGGAACACGTCTTCACGCTGAATATAAGTCTTCAATTCACAGGGTCGCTTTCCGGGCTTCCCACCCGGTTCTTTCAATTCCTTCCTGGACCCAAGGGATGGTAAGATTTGAAGATTGGGGTAGTGAAATTAGCTATTATGCCTACCTAGATACATAACCTACTTGCCATTGTACAAAGGGAGTTGAAGCTCAGCCTCTCTCTTGCCAGGGTTTAAGGAGCGCAGCCGCCACAAAATATATTCACCTCTCGCCACCGATCTTACGCATAAAGCAATCGCATACCAGGCACTTTTCGAAAAACCAAAAAATGCCACTCACAATGTGGTGGGAAATTAATATTGGCGGGGGTTTTGCACTTGTACGATACCTGTGATACTGGTGAGGTTAAGTGGGTATAATGGGAAAGGAACGGATAAACGGAATGTCTATCATTGTCACGGAGTACCAAAAAGAACGAATTATTGGAATAGAAAAACTTGTCCTTACTTGATACATTAATCCTTTCTTCAATGATTTTCTATTTTGTCTGGTTGAGGTACAAGATGCCAATTAAGGGCAATAGCTCGAACACTGATTTCCGCTGGTCATCTAGTTGAATGATGTACATTCCACCTGTCAGCAACTGTTGGGACGGCTGTACCTGGCGGGATTATCTAGAGTAAGCGCCCGCAAGGCTCACCTTCCTTTCTGTTTTTGACATCCAGGAGCCTTGCGTATCTAAATGTTCTCGCGATAGTAGCTTGGGTGAAAGAGCTCGGATATGACGATATAGTTAGTAATGAACTCATCAAATGTATTGAGCATTCGTGAAACACATGTATTGTGGAGAGTACCTAGTAGGCGGCCCTGAAGGTTACGCTAAGCATGCAATACTTACTCTAACGAGAAGCTTCAACCACGCAATTTATATTGGTTAGGTTCGACAAAAGCTTCCTAACTTCATTGTGTGTCTTTTATATCACGTGAGCGAAGGAGATATACCGGTAGCTGTGAAATCTCAAGGAGATACGTGGCCCCAGTGACTTTTTCTGCTTAAGTCGAATTGTCGGAGAGCTTTAAAACTTATATATCTTTTTGCTATTCAGAATCTTTTCATTCTCGCAATAGAACTCACCTCCGGATCCGATTGGTTTCCCATTTGTCTATCCTAATTGGAGTTTCAGGGACAGCTCGCCGCAGGGACTGGAAAGAAATGTTGACCACTTCCTAGCACCTCTATCGACAGCTTTATGACATTTATATCTCCAATGGAGTAGAACTGCTCGTGATAATCATTCTCTACTACCTGTATTCAGAACAACTCCATGGCATGGCGGACAACATTACCTGGCCTTGAAGGGCATATAATAGGAGATAAACACACGAAATGCATTCGAGCCAGCGACCCAAAGTATTTCTGCGCACCAACAACCAAGCCGCAACTTCCTAATATAAAGTTGCATTTTAATCTCCACTCTCAAGTAACCATTCATCCCATTCCACCCTATCACCCATCATTATGCGCAAGAAAATTCTCCAAAATCCGAATATTCGATATTAGATTGTCCTAACATACTTCGCTTCCCTTGGACCTCCTGCAGCCCCCCCTCCACCCCAAAAAATGGTTGTGTATTTACAACACCATCCTAAGACTTCTATGTAGTAATGCTTGAAAATCTAGCGCTGACAGTGCTGAGCTTCTTACCCATGGTCTCCTTTTTGTTCATAAGATGACTATTTAAACCTACAATCATACTTTTGAACGGTTGGGCAAGCACTTGAACAAGTTGATATCGCGGATGGATATTCATGCTCTACCATACAATAGCTCCCAAAAACTTCCACTATTCGAATACTGTGAGTATCTGAACATGACACAATGTTCTTAATGGACTTGATGTTCCAAATACATTTAAAATCTGGAACGGTCTCAGAGATTCTTTTTTGTAGTGCACAGATTTTCAGGGCTATCTACTGGAAGCCATGGACAGACCAGAGTCTTCTCATTATCACAGTTGAGTGGAGTGCTAATTTTCGTGACAGGCAACTGCCCGCCGATTTCCATCTTCAGCCAACGAAGAATAGAAGCCTGTACTTATGCCAACCAATATTTTAACAATACTCGCGAGAGAATATCGCACGCTTGAAGAGAACATAGAAATGAAGGACAGAAGTAAATTGAGTTTACCGTAGATTTGGGGCTCCGCTCGAGTCTTGATCAATTCAAAACATCTTGTGCCTCTTTTGGTCATCAGAAGACGAGGACACATGACTGTGCCTGTGTCCAGCTTATTAACATGAAAATCCAATAACTAACGGAGAAAAGTAATCGCGAAGTGATATCAGGTCAGCGCGGAATTCGACAGCCCATATTACTTGATAGATATGACCTCATTGGACAGATTCTTGGAAAAATTACACCAAGCTACCTAGTTGGTCATGCAAAGATTTGGTAACGAATTGTCGTTGATCTTGACCCATATCAACCCGAGAGAGTACAATTTTAGTAGTAACTTGGCAGATCTCAAAATGGATGTGAAGGGAAAGGTGGAGGGTGGAGAGAGATAACAACGGTTCTCCATATTCTTTTGTGGAGTAATAAATTTCGAGGTCTCTATACACAGTATGTAAGCATGCTTACTTTCCTGAACAACTTCATAAATGGCAGCTGAAAAGTTTGATGTATGATGAGATAAATTGGCAGGAAGAAAAGGGGTATTTCTTGAGATTGTTATCGGTCAAATTTAGTATGTGAGCACGTGATATTCTTGCTATTAAAGCTCCGCATCTAGTAGGGAGTACCAGTTCTCAATTGCAGGATCGTTCTATGGCCCGCGTACCTTAAACTCGTCATCATCCGCCCATATCAGTAGGTCAAACAACGCATAGCCTTCTTTTAACATCACCAACCAACATCGTATTCAATCACATTACTTCGTTGTACTACGAATTGTAAGGGAGATACAGACGCCGAGATTATCTTGTTCCATTTTTCTTATCATATGAATACTCAATCTCACCGCGTGGGATCCACAATTAACAATCACGGCCATTCAGGGTCTCGGTGTAGTGACGTGCCATCTCATCCATCCACTTTGTGAACTTCTTTTCTACCCCGACCTTTTCCCCACCAATCCAACTCCGTGCGCTTTGGGCTGCTGCTACAGCTCAATTACCTTCAACATTCCTCCTTCAAAATCATCTCGTCGCCCTGCGAACATACCATTACGAACATTGTCCTCAGCACATCGACCGACTCCTAACCAAGGATTGCTGGGCTCGGACGAGAAGCAGGGTCGGCGGCCTCCCCTTTCGCGCTCATCGTCACCTGGCTCCGAATTCTCGTGGAGTGACACAGGTGATCTCGCAGAGCAACTTGCAGACGAGGAAGACCCGTTACAAATTCGATTACGAGCATCCCTTGACGAAGAGGTTTTTGGTGGTTCTTCCAAACGAAAGACAAGAAAAAGGGTTCGATATAACGACGAGACCAACGGCAAGGAGGAGAAACACTTCCATCCTGGACTTGTTAAAGAGGATATCGAAATTCCCGATCCTGGCCCTCGACAGATCAGTAGAGCTGAGCATATCTTAACAGCAATCATGACGGGTGAGAGGCAGATGCACGGCCTGACAGGCCGGCCATTAGTGTAAGGATATCGGTCGATATACTCTGCGCATAGAACTGATGATAAGATAGGTATTTTACAAGTATTTTTGTATCATTAGGTGTGTTTTTATTTGGATATGATCAAGGAGTTATGTCTGGCATTATCACGTACGTATAAGTCTCACTACTTGGATTTCAACTTTTGGCTAATTGCCTCTAAGCGGACCTTACTTTAAAGATTATTTCAATCAACCTTCTCGAGCCGAGGTTGGTACTATGGTTGCTATCTTGGAAATCGGCGCATTCATTTCATCTCTCGTTGTCGGGAAGGTCGGCGACATAATAGGGCGAAGAAAAACAATTTTGTATGGGTCCTGCATCTTCTTCATTGGAGGTGCACTTCAGACGTTGGCCACTGGTATGCCTATGATGCTCCTTGGTCGCATTATTGCAGGTGTCGGCGTTGGCATGCTGTCAACGATTGTGCCCATATACCAATCAGAGATATCACCTCCTCACAACCGCGGAAAGCTCGCCTGTATCGAATTTTCGGGCAATATCACAGGATATGCGACATCTGTATGGGTGGACTATTTCTGCAGTTTTATTAAGGGGAATATGTCATGGAGAATACCCTTATTGATGCAGTGCGTCATGGGTGCTCTTTTGGGTGTTGGAAGTTTGATCATCGTCGAGTCACCACGGTATTTATTTAATATTCGTTGCCTAAATTATTCGTTTGACTGATCCCATTTAGATGGCTTTTAGATAATGACCACGATGAAGAGGGTATGGTGGTTATTGCCAATCTTTATGGCGCTGGTGACATTCATAATCAGAAGGCACGGGAAGAATATCGGGAAATTAAGATGAATGTATTGATGGCTCGCCAAGAGGGCGAGAAATCTTACAAAGACATGTTTCGACGATATCGTACCCGAGTCTTCATTGCTATGTCGGCTCAGGCTTTCGCTCAACTCAATGGCATCAATGTCATTTCATACTATGCTCCACTTGTCTTTGAATCTGCAGGTTGGCTTGGCCGTCAAGCGATTTTGATGACTGGCATCAACGCTATCACGTACTTCATGTGTACTATACCGCCATGGTATCTGGTAGACCGTTGGGGACGACGTTTCATTCTTCTCAGCGGTGCAATAGCTATGGTTATATCACTGTCCGCCATATCTTACTTCCTATTCTTGGACATACCATCTACACCTACTTTGGTAGTCATATTTGTTATGATATATAATGGTGCTTTCGGGTTTAGTTGGGGGCCAATCCCATGGCTTTATCCACCGGAGATTCTACCCCTCAGCATTCGATCCAAGGGAGCTAGTTTATCTACCGCCACGAACTGGGCTTTCAACTGGCTCGTAGGAGAATTGACGCCTATCTTACAAGAATTAATCACATGGCGTCTATACTTGGTCCATGCCTTTTTCTGTGCAACAAGTTTCGTCGTCGGTAAGTCTGCCTATGGTGCTTCTCATGTTTTAATACCTAACAACTTGTAGTATACTTCATCTATCCTGAGACAGCCGGCGTAAGATTGGAAGATATGGACATGATTTTCGGTGACGCGACTACAGCAATGCCCACGCCAGCAACCAGAGCCGAAACTGGATCGTTGATGGGTGTCAGCTCGCCTGTCCCTTCTGTTGATCTGAGACGTGGATATGGAGGTTCGAATGGTATTGGTCCTTCAAGTGCCATCCCTGGTCTTGATATTGACCCACCAAATGTCTCGATAGTCAATGGAAAACCTCAATATGGGGTAGATGAAGAGTCGGGAGAAGGTGTCGGGGGCTGGATCTCACGCATGGTGAACCGGAACAGGGGCGAGGGTGGCAGTATAAAAAGTGGAAAGTATAAACCATTAGATCAAGACGAGGAGTGAGCGTCGTTATGCTGGTAGGATATTAGATTGGAATTAGCAAGGAGCGGGCGTAAATGGAACCTCGAAGGACGGAGTGTAATACCAGTGCCATCTAGAGCACGTATAGAATGTGAATTTATCGGGATTTGTAAATTATTTCTAAATGCTAGGTATTTTTACACTTTATTAGGGACTTCACATTTACAACTAAACTTTCCCCATGCAATGTGCATTGAATGTAGAGAGTTTGAGGACTCGTGGATGATGATTACTATGAGTAGCCTGGTGGCCCTATGTTCATGCTCTTATTAGTCTGGCGATGATAGAACTGTCGGATCAGCACTTGTTTTCTGTGATTAGATTTATTTGTACAAAAAACACGCCTAGGTTCGTTCAGAATGTATATGTGTCCAAATCATATCACACATGAATCATTTCATAATGAACTCAGATTCTAGATTGCAAACGAACATCGCAGGTTAATAGCAATATGTAGATCTGCACATGTCAAGTCAACAGTAGTAGGTAGATCTGAAAATGTTCTAACTTGCTGCAGCCTCGTCAGCCTCAGAAGGACAGATTTCGGGTAATTTGGTGGTGCACTAATTTTAGATTCCCCAATTGATTTCAAGCAAGGTAGACTTAGTATAATCTAGAGCTCAACTCCTTTTTACAAACTTTCACAAGGGATTACGTCTTTAACTATCTACTTCCTCTTCATCTGCGAATCTGCTCCTAGAAATTGCGGAGAGATGCGAGACCTTTTTCATTAATTTATTCTTTCTTCAATTCTTCGACATTCCCTACAAATTCTTCAAGTTGTGACCTTTGACTTTCGAAAGCTGCATCATCAACCCGGGCCACAAACATTAACCTGATCCCACTGCAGATCATAGATTATTGAAGGTTACTTTGGGAAATTCGTAACTCGGAGGGACAACGCTTTTCTTCTTTCGCAGCCTCTCGCACCCATTCGAGATGGCTTCCAGCAAGGCAGCTGTTGCTTCTGGCGCAGATCATGCTCAAACAACTCGTCGTCGTAATGTACCATCATCCAATGGTAGTCTTGTAGACACGGTGGAGATAGACGACAAGAAGACACAACTCAAGAAGGTGAGCGGACCTATGAGTTTTTCTGCAATATATTTACGAGGTAGAGACTGATTCCGATTCATTTACAGCAGGGAAAGCATTCTATAGTGCAGTTCCTCGATGAGTGGGAGTTCTTAATTGCTCCGTTGATTTTCACAATATTCGCATTCTTCACTAGATTATACAAGATAGGTCTTTCACCTATTGTTACTTGGGATGAAGCCCAGTAAGCATATTCTTTACATTCAAGACTTGAACATTTTGGACTGATCATGTCGGGTGCAGTTTTGGAAAATTTGGATCTCACTACCTCAAACGCGAATTCTACTTCGATGTCCACCCTCCTCTCGGAAAGATGTTGGTTGGCCTCTCCGGATATCTCGCAGGTTACAACGGCACTTTTGAATTTAAGTCTGGGGACCAATACCCCGAGGAAATTAATTACACCTTTATGCGTGCCTTCAACGCCTTCTTCGGTGCCGTCACGATTCCTTTGGCTTACTTTACTGCTCGCGAATTGAACTTCAAGAGACCGGCTGTATGGTTCGTTACATTGATGGTTCTCTGCGAAAACTCCTACACCACCATCAGTCGCTTCATTCTCCTGGATTCTATGCTTTTATGCTTTACATTCACCACAGTTCTCTGCTGGGCTAGGTTCCACAATCTTCAGAACCAAAGTTGGACCGTGGAATGGCTCGTCTGGCTTTTCTTGACTGGTTTAAGTATTGGATGTGTTTGCAGTGTGAAAATGGTCGGCCTCTTCTGCACAGCCATGGTTGGAATTTACACAATTGAAGATTTATGGAACAAGTTTGGTAATACCAAAATGCCAAAGGTAAAACAAGTCTAATTGCTCTTTCGGTTCGTTAACTTGCTGATGTATCTTTAGGTCGAGCTTGCGGCGCATCTTGGTATCAGAGTCCTTACCCTGATCGTCATTCCCGTACTCGTTTACATGTTATCTTTTGCTATCCACTTCTACGTCTTGGAAAACAGCGGGCCCGGTGATGCTCAAATGAGCTCCTTATTCCAGGCCAATTTGAGAGGAACTGAAGTTGGAAAAGATAGTCCGCTTGAAATTGCATATGGATCTCGAGCTACGATCAAGAATATGGGATACGGCGGTGGTCTTCTTCATTCCCACGTTCAGACCTATCCTGAAGGATCCAATCAGCAACAAATTACTTGCTACCACCACAAAGATGCTAACAACGAGTGGTGGTTCTACCCTAATCGTTCTCAACCAGAATTTGACCCAGAGGCACCGCTTAGATATGTTGCCAATGGCGATGTTCTACGTCTCGTTCATTCACAAACTGGCCGCAACCTTCACTCACATGATGTATCGGCACCTATTACTAAGGCGGACAAGGAAGTCTCTTGTTATGGAAATACCACTGTTGGTGATGACAAAGATCACTGGACCATGGAAGTGGTTAAGGATGTTTCGTCAAATGACCGAAGCAAAATTAGGACCTTGACTACTGCTTTCCGACTCAAGCACACTTCTTTAGGATGTTACTTGCGAGCTGGCAATGTTAACTTACCACAATGGGGTTTCAAGCAAATTGAAGTCACTTGTACCAAAGATAATAATCCCAAGGATGTTTACACTCATTGGAACGTGGAAGCTCACTGGAACGAGAAATGTATGTTGATTGTATCGATTAATGAAGATCCTACTGACCACATTTATAGTGCCTGCTGCTGATGCTGGAGCTTATAAGTCTCCCTTCATTCACGACTTTATTCATCTGAACGTTGCCATGATGACCTCGAACAATGCACTTGTCCCAGATCCCGACAAGCAGGATGACCTAGCTTCTTATTTCTGGCAATGGCCAATCCTTAATGTAGGATTAAGAATGTGTGGATGGGATGACAATATAGTCAAATATTTCCTTCTGGGGAATCCTCTCGTATACTGGGGCTCCACCGCCTCTCTTGGTGTCCTCGGTGTCCTCGTTCTCTGGTACCTCATCAGATGGCAGCGTGGATACGGCGAGCTCAGCCAGACGGACATTGATCAAATTCATTATGCTGGACTGTACCCAGTTCTCGGATGGGTCCTTCACTACCTACCATTTGTCGCCATGGCTCGTGTCACTTACGTTCATCATTACTATCCAGCACTTTATTTCGCCATCTTGACTTTTGGCTTCTGCTCGGATTGGATGCTGAGAAACCAGGCTAAGACTTTGCAATATGCTATCTATGGTGTTTTATATGGCTTGACGATTGCGCTTTATATCTTCTTTATTCCTATCTCCTGGGGTATGTCGGGACCTAATCAACAATATTCTAGATTAAAGTGGTTCGACAGCTGGAGAGTTACGGATTAAAGGGGACACCTCTTGACTGATGCATAGATGAAGTCCTTCATGTGAGAGGGGCAATAGTTCAAAGTTGGAGATGAATGAATGGATGGATGGATTACAATCTTATCTTGTGGGCAAAGGATGGGTGTCGAAAAGGAAATCTGGAAAAGGAAAATCTCGCATAGTAAGGTGTAGGCATACCTGATTCTGATACGAATTTCTGCTTTACCTTACGGATACACATGTGTAACAAAATCTCGAATTTTTATCTCTTGTTTCACTTTATTTTGCAGGAGCTTCCATGTGTCGTTGTATTGTATGTTTGCACCCTTTACGGAAGGTAGTCTTCATGGATGGATAGGCA